CCTTCCCAGTAATGTGGAGCGGGATCCTATGACCACCTCCCTCGGGTGGGGACAGGAGGTGCTTGTGAGCTGCCTCTTTTTTTCTTTCTTTTCTTTTTTCTTTGTTTTCTTTCTTTTTTTTTTTTTTTTTTTTTAGCAAAGCTGTACAAAATTCCTAGAGTTTTGCCACCTGGATCTGCAGATTAAGCTTTTCTATCTTTGTAGAATTCTGTAGCTGTCTATTCCCTGAGGGTGAGGGATTTGGGGAGGGACTCTGCAATCTTTTATTCTGCTGGTCGTTAGAAGATTTTGGGTCAAAATGAAACAGAGCTGGGCTCCCACACCCTCCCCTCATTTCTCATCCGTGCCTGTGTCATGCAGGGTGACTCTTAGCATGCCTTCTTCTCTCTGGGGTCCTCTTTTCCCAGTAAGGGCTGAGGAAGCTTGTTGGGGTGCACTGACTGTGCCTTAGGGTTACTTTTTTGAGATACGCAGTGGTGAATGTGATGGGATAAAGAAGCCTCCCATTCCTTTCTCCACCCCCAGCAGAGGACCAGGGCAGCTCTCTGGAAGGAGGCAGTGCCCGGAGGGGGCATCCGGGCAGTGATGTGGAACTATTAAGCGCAGAGTCAGCATGGCTCTTCAGGCTTCTGAGGGAGCTGCGGGGCCCCACAGCAAGGCACCGTCCTTGTCACCGATGGAAACCGTTGAGTCTCGGGAAAGATGGGACGACGCTAGCAAGGACGCCACCTTTGTGATGCTTTGTTACGAGCTATGAGGTGGGGATGCAGAAGGAGGCTGGAAGTGGGCAGCAATCCCAGACCAGGACTTCCAGGGCAGACTAGGAACTGCGCAGGGGATTCTGAGGTGTGGGGGCTTCGGAACTATGAACGTCTACCCTGGTGCTTCTGCCCTCAGTCCTCTCCTGGGGGTCCAGAGGAAACTGTGTGGACAGCGTCAGGCCCCCACCCAGGGCTTGGTGGCTTCTGCTTTCTCCACCCCCAAGCTCCAGGAAAAGGTCTATCTGGGGGTGGGGACTGGGAAGAGGAGTGAGCTGGTGCTAAAAACAAACCTGAGGCTCCTATGCAGTCTCTCACTCACTCCTCAGACTCCCTAGCAGGGGAAGTGCCACCACTGGTGGTTTTTTTCTGTGCAGCAGTGGGTTCTGAGAGGCTAGGGGACTTGTTCAAGGTCACACAGCAAACAGATGGCAGAGCCGAGCTTTGACCCCAGGGCTGGACAGCCTGCATCACCCTGCCCTGTTCTTCCTGTGGAGAGAACGGGGCATGATGGGAAGAACCCTGCTTACCAAATGAAAGGGGTTTGAGAGAGGGCGAAGGCACTCCTCGCCAACGCAGTGCCACTGCTGTTTGTAGAAATGTATCCGAGTTCCCAGGGCATACCCAGGAGCACCCACAGCCCCCACCTTGTGAGATGCCGGCCTTCGAGCTCAGGGAGCAGGCGAGGGGCTTCGACCATGCAGAAGGTGTTCCTCAGCCTGGGTGCGTGTTGCAGTCCCGCCTAGGTTGGCTCCCCTTCCCGGGCACCTTTTCCCTTGAAGCTCATGGCACCTGCTTTCCCCTCCTTCTCCCACCACTTCCTGCCCTCTGACACCACCCCACCCAGTCCTCACCCACTTTCCAAACAGCTTTCAGATCCAGCTTCGCCCTTAGTCCCCACCCATCCCCTGCTGGAGGCCGGTGACCTCTCCACTCTCCTTGTGGAGCCAGGCCCTTCACAGCGGTGCAGTTCAGGGAATCCGTCACCAGGGGGCAGCACAAGGCACTCTCCCCTGGTGTCTTGGAAGCCCCTGCAAAGGGATGGAGCCTGGGAAAGGGATACCTTTGGGGGTGGGGGGGTGAGGGGGCTGGTTCCGAATGCCTTCAGGGCAGGTTTGGCTGGCTTGAGTAGTGGGGATCAAACCACAGCAACCTGAGCCTGACTGCTTTGTTGAAGCAGCCACTTAAAGAACTGAGCTAAGGGATGGGGCCCCAAGGGATACCTTCTACAGATGACACAGATGCTCTGTCTAACCCATAAAGGAGGTGGCAGGCCCATAGGGTCATGTGGGGACACGTGGAAGAACCCGGGGCGCCTGATCCCTGCCTAGGGCCCGTGGCTTCAGCACTGGTCCGGGACAGTGTGGTTGTGGGCTGGCATCCTACTTGGAGGCAGGATGAGGCAGGTGTTCAGGAAACCCCCCAGAGGGATTCTGTGTGCCTTAGGAGCTGTGGCTGGGGCCCATGGAGCTCTTAGGGCTCCCTTTGAAAGCTCCAGGACAGGACGCAGAAGCCAGGCCTTGCCTACCCAGCTATCAGATGGGGTGCAGATGTGGCTCAGAGGGACCAGGACAGCTGTACCCAGCTGGAGTCTGGGGGACATGGGACAGAGGGGTGCTGGGGTGTGGGAGCTGGAGCTCCCAGCCTCCAAGGGCCTTGGTGGCTCAAAGGAGTCAGGCAGGCATGGCTTTGCAATCTCCTCCGTCCGGTCAGCTCCAACCCGACTGCCAAGTGGTGGCCTTGAGCCTGCGTCTCCTGGTCCCGTGCTCTTTCTTCTCTCTGCCTATGTGCCCGCTTTGAGCTGCACTTTGCGGCAATCTTCTCTCACCATCTCCTGCCAGGAATCCCTGGTGCGGGGCTCCCTGGGGATCTGCTCCCTGCAGGGAGAGGTGCAGAGTCAGCTCGGGCACCCCTTCTGGAGCTGTCAGGGAGGAGGGAGATGCAGGATGGATTGCCAAGGTTTGATCTGCCTCTCCGCTGGAGCCTAACCCCCAAGGGCTTTATTGCTCCTCTCAGCAGCCTTCCATTTAGAACAATTTCGCTTCTGAAAAATCAAAAGCAGGGCAGCCAGCATCCACACAGTGGCCTTGCTAATTGTGAGCTCTTCTTAGGAAGCGGAGTACTTGTTTAGTTGGTCAACAAATGCTTCATGTAGACCAACAGTGGTTACAAAAGAAGGAGGGAGTGTGCAGAACAAGGGTCCCTGGCCTGGGGTTGGGGTGTGGGTCTTGAATGAGATCTCGAAGGAGAAGTAGTTCACCAGGTACAGGACAAAAGTGGGGTGCAGGGGTGTCTTGACATGGGGTGGGGAGGCTGTAGCAGCTGAGGGTGCAGGATAGGCCAGGAGGCTGAGTCAGGAAGAGCTCTATGGCCCTGCACTCTAACCATTGCACTTCCTAGCCAGCTCTGGGCTGGAAAGTCCCAAGTGGAACCAAGCTGGGTTTGGGATCCTCATGTTAAGAAGGAGGACTTCATGGGTAGCTCACCCTCGGAAGGGCCCCAAAGGAAGGTCCTCAAGTCTTCCAAGCCTAGTGCTAGCCTTCCTGGTGTACCTAATGTTTATGACCCTGGAACTCTGAGAAAAGGAACAGGAAAGGAGAGAGACACAGGGGAGAGAAGGGTAAAGACAGGGGTGAGGGCATGCTGTGGCAGCTTGGAGGGACAGTCCCAGCTGCTCCAGCCACTGCAGAAGCCAGGACAAGTTTCAATTAGCACCTTTTCCAAATTACACAAACCACCTGGTCCCAGAGATATCAAGGAGCCTGAGGAGGTCTTGCAGCTACAAAAGGTACTGCCCGAGGTAGGGAGGTGGCTCACCAGTCTCTGCCCTTGGGGAAACTGTCAGACTGGTGGGAAGATGGACAGGCTCTTCACAACTAGCTGTGACTGAATATAGCCCAAGGCCTTGTCACACTTGGAGGAGAGAGTGAGGTCTTTTGCCAGAGACCGCGTTGGGAGACAAGACTGGAAGGGAAGGGGAAGGCTAGAGGGCTTGGAGGACTCCTGGGCAGAGGTTCCCCCATCCAGCTCCTGGGGACAGAGCCTTGTTCGAACCTTGCCCTCCAGAGTCCGCCAATCTCCATTCTACCAGCCCACAGCCTGAGATGTCCCTGCGGGCAACTTCCTGCCTGTCACAAGGACAGGAGGCATTGTCACTTCTCAACTGCCCTGCTGGCCCCTGAACAGCCAAGGAAGGGAACACCTTGCACCCTCTGGAGAGAGGTAGTACCAGGAAAGGCAGCTCCAGGGGTGACTGGATCTAGCAAGTTGCAAGGACAGAGTTGCAGGGACAGTGAGAGACTGACAGATCCTCCCTACCCTCAAGAATTCCCTCTGCACCCCAAGGATGTTGAATGGCTCTGGTACCCTGTTGGGGAAGAGAATGGGGGGCCCCAGCATAGTAGGCCCACTCTATGGATGGGAAGCGAGTACTTTCTGAGGTAGGAAGGGGATGCTGATGTGGGGGCTCTTCCTGGGGCTTCCCGTATCCATCCCCACCCTGCCCAGGTGGAAGTAGACAAAATGAACATGCTTTGGGCTCCTAAGTGTGCCGGGTACTGTACTGTGCTACCTGTTGGGCTGAACCCAAGGAGGAAGATTCTGTTCCATTATCCCTATCTTATAGACGCAAAAGAGAGTCCCTGGGCAAGACGGGGAGTCCCAGTGACCCAGAAAGCAAGTGCTCACCAGGACCACGGAGGCCAAGCCCACTCCACAGCTTGCATCCCCGTGCCCAAGCTCACCTGGCAGCACGAAGCGTGGTCACCAGCCACTTCTAGATGGCTGAGTCTACAAGCATGTCCCTTCTTACAGATGAAGGAAACAAGGCCCAAAGCTGAATGGAAGGAACGTAGGAAGATTTTTTTTTTTTAAGAGGGAGGATTGCTAAACCCCTCTCCCTGCCTCCCTGACTCATCAGCCCCATGTTTAGGGTCTGAGCTCAGCACCCTCCCATCACCTTGCATCAGAAACTGTCAGATCCTGGCCTGCTGGCCTGGAGATCGAATGGAGAGTAGAACCTCTCTGGAGCCCAGGGGACAGCTGGAAGGCGCTGTCCTTGTTAAAGTCCCCAGCCCCTGACCCAAAGTCCTTCCCTGCCCCATAGAAGTTTGGTGGTGGCGGCGCTGTTGAAACTGCAAGGACTGGAGAGGCTGGCAGAGGGCCCAGTCAGGGAGGGCTCAGAGGGCCGGGCTGGGGCGGGGCCTGGTCCCAGGCTTCCTGCACCCGCCCTGCGCACACCATCAGCCCTGTCGTTGGTCAGTCGGCACACTTCTTCCTCGACACCACAGCAGCCCCCACGCCTCATGGACGCCCTGTGTGGCTCCAAGTTCTGGGTAAGGCTTGGGGCTCAGGGGCTGTTGTGGTGGGGCAGACCCACCTGCTTCTCCTTCCCTGCCTTCCTGTTGGGATAGCTGAGCTCCTGGGACAGTGAGTTTGTTTGGCCGCCAGCCCTGGGGGAACGCTGGGTGTGTGGAAGTGGGTGATGAGACACCTTTTGGTCCCACTACATTGGACCAAGCCAGGTCCCCAGGGATATCTCGGTGGGACACCGGCTTGCCATTCCAGCCTGCATGGAGGAGCTCAGAGAGTAAGGCAGGTGGCTCCTGAAGGCACAATGCCTGGTACCCAGGGAGTGCAGAATACCCCACTCTTGTCTCCAGGGCCTCGGTGGGTCACCCTCAGCATGCGGATGGAGCAGTTTGCCATGGCGGGATTCCTGCTGGGCCCTCTGGCAGTGACCTACCATCTGGAGCTCCATTGCCTGCTCTGCATCCCCATCCTGGGACCCCCGGGGCATCCAGGGCCCCTGTGAAGTGGCTACTCTGAGAGGCAGGTCCCACAGGGACCCATTCCTCTGCAGACCAAGTCCCTGCCCCACGGTCTAGCTGTGTCTATGGCCTGAGACCTCTCCTACCAGCAGTGGCATGTGGCAAGGTACTCCTTCAGAGGGGGGCCATTGCTGGCTGTCCGGAGACTACCCAGAGTAGGCTGGTCTCAAATTCAGACTTAAATCCCTTTTTCTACATCTTTTCCCATTTTGAATATTTGTATACACGTGACCCGTGTGTGTATGTGTGTGCTCGTGTGTGAACATACCTATGTGGGGAGGATGGGGTGTTAGCCATAGGTGTGCACTACACACCTGTGTGTGCATAGGTGTACCTGGGTGTGTAAGTCAGGATCCATACCCTGAGCTGTCACTCAGGGTCTCCTGGGCTGGTATTTATGATTTGGGATGGGCTGAAACCATTTCATGGATTTTCTTGAAACTTGAGGCAATGGAATACCTGTCGAAACTAACTTCGGAAGGGGGCTGGGGAGGTATCTGAGTGGTGCAGCTCCTGCCAGGCAAAGGCAAGGTCCTGAGTTCAATTCTCAATACAAAAAAAAAAAGCCTTTGGGCAATCTCTCTTTTTCTCTGAGTTACTGAAGAGTTAATTATAAATCATGCGGCGTTCTGGGCCAGGACTGCTCTGGCTCAGCCCCACAGGTCTCCCAGCCCGGGCCCGCCATCTGTCATCCTGGTCCAGAGGTTATGCCTTCTTCTGAGCGTATTTCCTCTCGCTGCTTGCCTGGACCTGGCTGGTGCGGCCATGGAATGGTATTGGTGATGCAGGTGATCAGGCAGACAGCTGGAAAATCAGGAGGGCTGTTGTGCCAAGCCTGGGAGTGCCAGGGCCCCTTGTTCATGGATGATAGTGCAGCCCTGAGTGCAAAGGAATCCAGGCAACCTGGAGCAGAGCAACTCGGCATTCCCACCCTGCGCTAAGCTGAGAGAGAGGCCTCTGGGCTCACTCTTCCAGACGATGATCATGAAGGCCACACGTGCCGAAACAGTTCACTGATCTCGCATTGTGGAGGCCAGGGAGGAAGGGTCACAGGACTGTCAGCTACGGAGGGCTAGATCCGAAAACAGGACGTCTAGGACACGCCCCGACCATGTGTCATCCCTTACCACATTCCTTTGTGTCTCAGGCTGGACCCCTGTCCCCAAGCTCTTCTTCCTGCTCACAGTTGTAAGCGCCTCCTCCCAGGGCCCAGCCCAGTGGGACTGGGCCTGCCTCCATAGTGTCCGGTCAGGGACCTGGCTACTCCCCTGCTCCTCACAATCGTTACTTTTTTTAATGTATTTGACACAAGGTCTCACTATGCTGCTCAGACTCATAGTGACCCTTCTGGTTTCAGCCTCCCCAGCACTGGGATTACAGGCATGTGCCATCATGCCCGGTCTTAGTGGTCGCCTCAGTGTGCCTGGCGGTGGGGCCAGTGTGGCTTATGGTGCCGGGAATTGAACCCCAGTCCCTGCGCTTGCCTAAGCAGGCGCTTAGTCCCCTGAGCTATCTCACCAGCCCTTTTCTCCAATCTTGAAACTCTGTCTTCCACCTCTTTGGCTCTTGAAAGCCGCTCCTGGTTGCAGGCAGTATGGCTGGTGACCGGAGTGGGCATGGAGGGTGTAGGAAGGCTCCCCTCCCTCCTCCAGGGTTTGCAGAGCTGGGGTGGTAGGTGGGGCTCGGGAGGGTGGAGACCAAGCTCTAGCCCAGTTACCAGGCAGGCCTAGAGTTCTGGGCTATTTTGCATCTCATTTGCATTGCACATCATTCAGGTATTCTGACCCCCGAAATGTAGGTAGACACCTGCTTGTGGGAAATGATTCAGGGTAGCCAGAAAATCCCTGAAGCAGGAGGAGAAAGGCTCCTCCGGGTTACTCTCTTACCAATCTGTTCTTTAGTTTATTATTTAAGTTTCACTTTTTTCGTCTGTGAAATGGGAAAATAACTCACTTTCTACTCACCTTCCAAGATGTTTATGGGGAGAGGCATGAAGTTCCAGAACATGGGCAGCAGAGGCAGGAGGGATGCCACAAGTTCGAGACCAGCCTGCGCTATATAAGCCAAAACCTGTCTCAAACAAACAAAGATTTTCGTGGGGATCAAATGAGACAGAATATGTGGAATGGTTCTGAGAAGTGAGAAATCTTGTGTGTTTGCAGATACTGGTTTTCCTGGGAAGAGAAGAAGGTTAGACAGGAGGTGCTACCATAACAAGGACCAACAGGGCTGGCAGGGCTATTTCCTGGGAACCAGGTCCTGACTTGGGTAAATCGTTCGGCTTTGGCCCCAGCTCACTGTAAGGGCAGGAGGCTGGGGGAAGCCACGAACCCCTGGACACATACATATACCCACCATTGCGGGACACGTGATTTTTTTTTCTCTCTCTCTTTCTTTCAATATCAATCTCTTGCTCTGTCTCCAAAAGAACAAATGCTGTGACCTCTTGGGAGGTCAAAAGAGGGCAAGTACAGTTTTACTTTGGCCTGCTCCCCACACCACTCACCAGCAGAGGTAACTGGGATTTGAGCAATATGGACTTGGACTCTACACCACCCCTGAGTACACTGAGGAGAAACGGGACAGCTTAGGTCAGGAGATGGTGGACGATTTTCACAATTGACCTTACCTGATGACACAAGCCCGGAGAAGCTCAGGAATCTCATGGTCCTGACCATGGAGCTGTCTGAAGGGGAACCTGGAGATGTGTGAGCACACAGGGTCACGTGGGCGGTGACCATTTGATGGGGATGTTGGTGAGGTCCTAGCCTGAGACTGTATGACCCGCTGGGAAGAAGGAAGATGTGGCCCTTGGGGAGTCCCTGGCTCCTCTGGCTGTGGGGTAGGAGGTGAGCACTCTTTAGCTTACTGGGCCAGAGCTCACCCCCTCCCCCAGGATCCCAGTCTTCCCTGGCAGGCTTGGGCCCAGTGGGGTTCCCTCTGTCCATTCCAGCTGGGGTGCTTGGAGCCAGGGAGATGCCTCAGTGGAATAAGCGCTTCCCTGGCAAGTGCAAGGGCCTGA